ATCAAAATTCTATTCCGGGGTCGTTTTCTCAAAATATTGACCGAAGTCAAACTTAGCACTTTAAGGCCAACTTAAGGAACCAAGTGTTCCGGTTTCACCTCAAACACTTCCAAATCCCGAACCAACCATCCCCGCAAGTCATAAATCATTACAAGCACCTACGAAAAGTTTTATTTTAGGAAACGGGGTTTTAAAAGTTAAAATAACCGGTTGGGTCATTACAATAGTAGGGAAGAGATGTATAAAAATAGAGGTAGTGTGAAGATACTTATACTTTAAATTAACTTTAAAATAATTAAATTATATTTAAAATTTACTAATAGACTTAAATGATTAAAAAATTCCGAATAAGAGGATACATGCATAAAAATATACCAAATTTCAAGAATAAAATATTTATATTTATTAAAGACTATTAAAAGGATAATAAGCAAGACATTAATTTAATTATTAAGCTAATAAAAATTATAGGATAGTATAATAATATTAAATAATAAATAATACAATAATAACTATAAGAAAAGAACAGAAAGATAAAAGAATTTGTGTAAAAATGATGTGATAAGTACGACATATTTGACTTTCAGATAAAAACTAAATGATAGTAAGAAGTTTGTTAAAATAATATGATTTAATATGCTCAAACAAGACATATCACAACATAAAATGTTTAGTACTCTTTAATATTGACAACGAAACGAAATGCAAGTACTAAAATCAAGGGGTTAGGTTATTACAAATATAAAATTAAAAAAAATGGGTTGTCCACTACTAGATTTGAACAATAATTTCATATCCTGCTTTATAGTTAATATCTATTAATGTTATATAATTTTTATCTGATAGGTTTATATTTTAAGGTTATTATTTTAAGGTTATTCGCATATTATTCAAACAACCTACAATCACCATTTGACATGATTTATGGTGCAGGTACTAATAGGAGTAATAGAAATTTAACTTGGCAAATGAGTTCCTACTCCTAGCTCTGTGTGGTCCTTCTCAAGAGGCTGTCTTAATCAGCTGTGATTTTTTTTACCCCATTTATAAACTACCCCTATTCAGCTATTCCTATTTAGAGAATTGAAACCCAAAAAACTTTTAAAAAATAAATAGAAAAAAAATTGATGAACCGATAGTCATTAAAACTAACATCAGAAAGAATGGCAGCTGAAGCAGAGGAACTGTCTAAATCAGCATTAATGAATGCCAACTGAATCGAATATCTTCGGTTAATGAATTCAACTTCTCCCAATGGAGTTGCATTTAGTTTTCTGAATCCACAGAAAGTCTATTCTATCAAAATCAGATGCATACTTATGAGTTGGCATAGCCATGCAACATTTATTCAAACCAGCAACGAAATGATAAACTCGCGCTAATATGTATGTGCAATTCAGATTTTCAAAAAAGAATCAATAACAATTTCCTTTTCTTTGCATTTTATATAGCGCTAATTGATTTAACCCCCTCCAAAAAAGAGCAAAAGTACTTTTAGAATTTTATGGTATTTAACATGTCATGACTAAATGGTCACTGAAAGTAAAATAAAAAATGTATTGTTTAAAATCAAATGGAATTTTCAAATACAAGGTGTCGTTTTTTGTAAAATCTCAAAGGAAAAGAGTATCAAAAGCAAGATGAAAAGGTTGGCTCCCTAAAAGTATCTAGAAATCTATTTACTCTTTTGGCACCAATAGGATCAAATTATGAACTTTTTAAAAAAAAAAAATATTTTTAGGCCGAAAAAGAAGATCACGGACAATATCAATAGTTATAGTGAACGCAGATACTATTGGCTGCGAGAGGGAACAAGACAGTGACTTATTATCTTCTTCATTCTGTCTTTTATTTTTTAGATTAAAGCTTTTTTGAAGCATGACAGTACCAACTAGGACCACATGCCTAAATTGTTTGGTTGCTGCAGTTGGACATTGTCTTTTATCAATCAGTTGAACACAAATAACCATACTCAAGAGTTTAATATGACCACCCCAAGTGAAAATCATGTAAAACCCAATCAAACTGAACAATTTATTGGTCTCTTTACAGTTGTATCAGTCGAGGTGAACAGTGAGAATTCCTTTAATAGACCTTAACTTGCTTCACATTGACGCGTAGTTTACAAACTTCTGGACTGTAAAGAGATACAAATCGTAGTAATACTATAAACTGCAGTGATTGAGCACTTCTAATAACCTCTAAATCTCTATGCAACCATTTGAATTGCAGTCGCAAGAACCTAGTCCAAAACTGCTCACATTTGTCATCAGGGATTCATTTCTAAAAGCTGAGAAATGGTCCCAAATCTATAGTTGTCCATATTATACTATGTACAAAGAACTGCATTCTGTTACCCTATGCATGTAATGAACTAAACCAACAACCACCAGAGACAGAGAAAGTGTTAGTCACTTCCCAAAAAGTGAATAAAAACCTATCACTGAAATTTTGGATAATCTAGCTTTGCCAAATTTTGGTAATAACAGATACAGAAATTGCAGGAAACAAGAATTTGGACTCCAAGAAACAAAGTTTCCTGCAAAAGAACATGTTGAAAAGCCTATACGCGACACAAAATTTCACTACTGCTTTAGACATTCTACCATGTCTTATATTTTCCTTAGGCTTTGCAAATCACCACAAAACAAGGAAGAAGAGCCCTAGGATTAAGCAAGTAAAGCTCCTCTATGTTAGAGTAAACACCAACCTTCCCAGCCAAAGAATCAAACCCGGTTTGGCCAGCCATTTCTTGAATGTTCTCCAACGGCCTATGCACTCGACCTGCAACAACTCTGCAGACGATCAATGCTTTTCTTAACGATGGATCATCATCACTCAACTCAATACATTCATAAGCTCTTGCACTTGTGGAAGTGGTGAAGACACCAATCCCGCCTTTGAGTTCCTTCTTCGTGGTGAATCCGTTTCTGATAATTCGACAGACGCAGCATTTATCGGATACACAGAGACTGCAGGTTCCATTCATGCCAAGGCCACATTCCAAAGTAGTTCCATAGAACCTTAAAAGTTCATTTCCATCAGCTATACACCGAGGATGTTTCTTAGGGAGCTTACTTGCTTTAACCTTCACCATCTCCCTATATTCTTCAAAGCGAGCCAGAGTTTTTTGTGTGTTGTGAACTTTCAAGACCCTTTCAATCCGACCGACGTGGCTCTCGGATTTTAACCAGCTTGAACGACAGATTATTTCTACTATCTTCCTTGAAGAATCACCCTCCAAAAGCTCACTCACTGTCCAATTGAGCAAAATGCAACAAGCTTAATAGCTCTTCAAAACCATTAAATCAACAAGTACAGAAAGCGAATACAATAGAAACTACTACTACTATGCCTCAAGCCCAAAAAGGTTGGGGTGAATGTGGTGTGTGCCTAGGCGACCACGTCCCAATGTATTATGTATTGTGGGGATTCTTGATAAATTGACAGACAACGTCGAAGCAAAGTTCTACTCTAATCCAGCAGTGCAGTCTAGCCATAGCCCATAGATATCCAGTGATGACCACGTCCCAATGTATTATGTATTGTGGGGATTCATAATAAATTAACAGACAACGTCAAGCAAAATTCTACTTTAATCCAGCAGTGCAGTCTAGACATAGATATCTAGAGAGTAAAGCACATGAAATTTTACAGTTAAAATTTCATGGTTTCCTCTCCCTCCCCCTCCCTCTCCCCCTACCAAACCACCAATCCATCAACTGCTAAATAATTTAAGCAGAAATTGCTGATACCATCTTCAAGTAAATTTCAAACAAATTGGCTGAAAAAGGGCAATGTTTCTAGCTCTAAAAAGATATAGCAAAATGGGCTTTGAAGCTGCAAATGTACAATCTTGTGATGTAGGCTACGAACAGAGAGGGGGGAGGGGGGGAGAGAGAAAGAACAGAATAAGCAACCGCACGAGACTTAAAAGACGTCCCAAGTACTTTTTTTCAGACAGAGAGAATGAAAAAGGAAAATAATCTACGGCATAAGCAAAATACTGAAAAAAGCATAGAGATAGGATAATAAGGAATGATGAAAAGGCAAAAAAGGCAAGATTTTTACCAGCATGCTTAGAAAGATGATGTGCTTCAAGAGCTTCCCATTTTCCAAATTGCTCTCCACACTTATGACATGTGACCCCTGAAGTTCCATTAACATCATTATCAAGTGAATGCCTAGTAGTTTTACAAGGAAAACTATGTCCTCCTCCAAAATTAGCAGAACTTTCTTTATCAACAAGAAAAGATGCACTTCTCCTTGTAGGAGTTGCCACTGAATTCCTACAACCTGAATTGAAATAATGCATTGTAGGGTTCCCTCCTGGACCAGGTGTACCAGGTCTCAAAGTACCCACAAAAGTTGAGCCATTAGTCCCACCCCCACTTTCTTGAAAACCATTAAAACTAGTGATTTTCAACTCACACCTTGAATTACTCAGAATAACTTCATGAGTTATTGGATTAAGAAACTCACTGCTACCAATAGATCTTGGACTACAACTTGGAGGTTTTTCTAAGTGTCTTTTGCTTCCATGGATTACATCTTTGAGATTTGCTATAGACCTTGAACAACCTGACCTTGACCCTCCTCCTTTTCTAGTCAAAATTGTGCTTAATTGCTTCCTTGTCTTTGGGTCATGAACATCTGATGGCTCTGATTTACAATGCAAAGACCTCTTCAATGAAAACCAAACTGCTGGCATATTCTTCTTCTCCCCCATTTACAACAATTTCGCCCTTCAATGCTTTAATATCCTCAAAACTATATCTTTTCCTCTATTGTAGTCAGATAACTTTCTAAAAGAACTGACCTTTTCCCAAAGACCCTATCTTTTTACCAAGAATTTCATGGTTCAAAGCTTTAACATCCTAAAAAGAACTGATTTTTTTTTTCCAAAGACACTATCTTTTCCTCTATTTATAGTCAGATAAATTTCTAAAAAACTAATCTTTTACCAAAGACACCATCTTTTTCTACCTCCATGAATACCAAAAAGGTAGTCAAGAAATTTGTTTATTCTTGGCTGACATTATTCCTTTGAAAATGCCCCTTCTTAGCCAATACTCTCAAAAAGATAACCCCCACAAAATCCTTCAAAATGCTAAAAGATTAGAACTTTTCAAAAATTAAAGTGACCCCAAAAAATCCAACTAGAAACTGATGAAGAATGGTTTGGAAAGAAAAGGAGTGAGGAGTGAAAAATCTAGAGGCAAATAGGAGGAAGAGGATATTGTCAATTTAAATGAAAAGCAAGAATCTATTGGGTTAAAGGAAGAAGACAAGAAACTAGAGAAGCCTTAAAAATTTGTTCGGTGATATTAATGAATGACAGTAACTAAGCAAAGGTGCAGACAGTAAAGAATTGAGAAAGCCAAAGGCCCAAAAATTGAAATCCAACTCTGACACTTTTGAGTAGTCACAGTCTCACCTCACTTTCACTTGTGTCAATTTGAATTGAATAAGAATCACATTTGAATTGAATGACTTTGAAATATAGTTAACAAGTAGGGTAATTAATAATGTCACAAGTCTCAATGATTTCTTTTAATTCCTATTTTGATGAAACTCACAACGAAGTTTCATCTTAATAGTAAGGTCTCCTGTTATGTCCATTGTTGCGGGTTAAATATAGTACCAACATTGCTAGCCCAATACAAGGAGTAGTTGTTAACAATTTTTATAATACATATTTGTATAAAAAAAATTGAAGTCACAGAGAAACAATTGATAACAATGGTATGGACCTATCCACTTTGTTGTGTTTGCTGTATGTACATGAGGTTACATTGGACTTGAGAATATTTGGCATCTGCGCCGCGTCACAAATGAGCCCAATTAGCCAAATACTTGAGTAATCTTTATTTTAGACTATTTAGCAGACGGATCAGTGTCTTTTAGCCTAATATATATATATATATATATATATATATATATATATATCATTTTATACACATTCGGTAGGAATATTCAGAATGAGAGAAAGTATCAGATTTTAATCGAGAAGCTTCTCTCTTCTTCTTCTCTCTATTCTCCCTTACCCTAGCTAAGTTTTTCATGGCGATTTCATACATTTCAAAGTTTATCATGGTATCAGAGCGAGGATTCATGTAGATCTCGCACTCAGCTCTCGTCCGATGGTAGCCTTACACGATTTTGTGGATTTTCTCTCACTTTCGCCTCAGCTGTGCTTCGTCAGATTCGTTGATTGTTTTGTTGTTTGATGTAATTTTGAAGGTCGTTCTTCTTCCGGTAGCGAAGAAGCGTGGTAAATCTGAACATGTTATCACTCATTGTCTGTTGCTTTTGGTTTTCCTTGTCATAAGGTTTTGCATGTGTAATTCTTCGCATAAAATTGGTCTGATTCTACTGTTTTCAATATGACTTTGGGAGATAGTACCAGCTCGTCTTCTACATACTCCCCAGACCCTTCGAGTCCTCTGTTCATACATTCATCTGACATTCCTAGCACTTCTTTAATGCCTATACCATTTTCTGGTACCGGGTTTGGAGGTTGGATAAATCATAGTTGCTTTGTCAGCAAATAATAAAATAGCATTTATAGATGGCACATGTCCTAGACCTTCTGATAATGCACCAAAATTAAAGTTTTGGAATAGATATAATAATATGGTGATATCCTGGTTAACTAGCTCTCTATCTCCTGAGATTGCTGAGAGCGTTCAATACTCTAATTCTGCTAAATTTTATTTTTTTTATCAAGCAGTTACAATTTAAAAATTTCTAGATTTCTCGAATTATTATTATTCAGATAAGAATCCTCATAATCATAAATTGGACTATTACTAGTATTAATATTGTTATAGCCTGTCTCTTTGGAAGCAACTCGAAACCAGATATGGCACTGTTAATGGGACCAAAATATTTTAGAGTAAGAAATAATTAGCCTCCACTTGTCAGGAATCTCTGCATATTGCATCCTATTTTAACAAATTGAAGAGGTTGTGGGATGAATTGGCCTTTATGCACAAGCATTCTGTAAATCTTTGTAATTGTCCCTTACAAAGGGAATTGGAGAAGGACAAGTTATATTAATTCTTAATGGGACTTAATGAAATCTATGTTAGTGTTAGGATCAACCTTCTTATGAGACAACCACTTCCTTCTCTTGACATTGCTTGTAACATATTGCTCCAAGATGATAGTCAGAGGCATATTAGTTCTACTCCTCAATTCAATTCAGACTCAACCTCATTCAATGTAGTTGTTAACAATTATGTCAAGTTTCCTCCTCCTCCTCTTCCAAAACAATAGTATAATCAAAAGATAAATTTTGATCAAAGGACAAATGTTGATCAGGGCAAAGTCCCCCTCTTTTGCAAATATTGTAAGAATCCTGGGCACTGAATTGATAAGTGCTACAAGTTTCATGGTTTTTCTCCCAATTTCAAGTTCACAAGGGGGAGAAGAGTTATAGCAAATGCTACCGATGAGCCTGAGTTCACTGCTGCTGGGCATAATGCTGATGGTTCTTCTTATTCTGGTTCTTCTGGACATAGTTCCATAATTCCTGGGTTGTCCATGGAACAATACAATCAATTGTTGACTCTGTTACAACAGTCTCATGTGTCAGATACTTCTCTTCATTCTAATCTCATGGCTTCTGCCAATTTTATTGATACATTACTATCTGGTGATCTGTTGAATGTTGCTAGTTCTAGTTCATGCATGCTTTCTCAAACAGTTAATCTAACCTGGATAATTGATTCCGGGGCTACTGATCACATGGCATCTAATAAAGATTTTCTTACTAATCTTACTCATTTACTTGTTCCTTATCTTGTGTCTTTACCTAATGGATACAAAGTAAAAGTGACCAGCACTGGTTCTTTTGTCTTGCATCCATCCCTTATTCTTTACAATGTCCTAAATATTCCTTCTTTCCAGCACAATCTTATTTCTGTGCATGGGATCATTCAACAGTTTAGATATTTTGTCCTATTTGCTTATGAATCTTGATTACTTATACCATAGGGCCCTTCTCTGAAAAAGCCTTTGGATCTTGGTAAATTGGACAGTGGTCTCTACAAGCTTGTCTGGAAAAGACCATCTCAATCTCAACCTTTTACTGATTTACAATCCATGAATAATGCTAAATCTTCATCTGTTATTTCTGGTTCTACATTTGCTTGTAATTTTCCTATTTCTAGTTCCATTCCTATTCCTCATATTTCTGCATCCACTTGTAACTATAGTTGTCCTAGCTTACCAAATGTTTGCACTGTTATCCCTAGTTGTAATACTACATAAATGAATACAATGGATGTTCTTTGGCATCAAAGACTTGCTTATCTCAATTATCATCCAAATAATATTTTATTTGTAATGTTTGTCCTATGTCACGGCAAGCTAGGCTACCTTTTTCAGATAGCTCCATTAGTACTACAAAACCTTTTCAACTCATACACAATTGATACATGGGGACCTTATCATACACCTACACATTCTGGGTTAGCTACTTCCTTACTATTGTAGATGATTATACAAGAGCTACTTGGACACATTTAATGGGGGCTAAAAGCAATGCATTTCCTTTGATAAAATCATTCCTTACAATGGTCTAGACTCATTTCTATACTAAAGTTCAAACCATTAGGAGTGACAATACCTTATAACTGGATTTAAGCCCTTCTTCCTCTACCTTCTACTCAGAACATAGAATAATCCATCAAACTAGCTTTCCCTATACTCCTCAACAAAATGGGGTGGTTGAAAGAAAACATAGGAGTCTTCTTGAGGCCTCTAGAGCATTGTTGTTTCGGTCTAGTTTACCACTGCAATTTTGGGGTGATTGCTTATTGACTGCCACTTATATCATCAATAGATTACCCTCCAAACTTCTTAATAACAAATCCCCTTTTGAAATATTGTATGGTAAGGTGCCCTCCTACTCTTATTTGAGATCTTTTGGTTGTTTGGGCTATGCCACAATTCCTACACCTCACAGGGACAAGTTAAAGCCTAGGGTTATCCCATGCATCTTTCTTGGATGTCCATTTGCTAAAAAGGGTTACAAACTCTACAATTTAACCGCTAACAAGTGTTTCATTTCTAGGGATGTCATATTTCATGAACACTATTTTCCCTTTTCTCAGTCCCATGTGGTTCCCGGCACAACTTCTATTCCATCTCCTTATGTACTTACTTTTGCTCCTGCCCCTTCTACTATTTATCCTGAATCTTCTGATTCTCCTCTATATCCATCTCTTCCATCTCCACCCTCATCTTCCTTTTTTGATGTTGCTGCCCATTTATCTCCCTATTCTTCCTCTCCTCCTTCTGCTATTGTTGCTCCTTCTTCCTCTCCTACCGTTTCCCCTCCTTTTCCTATCTCTTCTATTCCTTTATCTTCTGTTCCTTCTCCTCGTCTGAGAAGATCCTCCGGGGAATATCATCTCCCCACCTATCTTCAGGACTATGTTTGCTCTCTTCCCAGAACATCTACCTCTTCTTGTTCTAATTCCATTCTTGAGCATGATGAATTTGAACCTAGTACATACTCTCAGTCAACCTTCATTCCTGCTTGGCAAGATATTATGAGAAAGAAATTTGAGGCTCTATGTGCCAACCATACTTGGGATGTTGTAGAATTACCTAGAGGCAAGAAAGTCATTGGTTGCAAATGAGTTTATAAGGTGAAATATAAAGTTGATGGTCGTGTAGAAAGGTACAAGGCTAGGCTTGTAATTAGAGGTGATACACAAGTGGAATGTGTTGATTTTACAGAGATATTTTTCCCTGTTGTGAAGATGTCCACTGTTAAGTGTCTCATTGCAGTGGTTGTTAAACACAAGTGGCCTTTATTTCAATTGGATGTTAATAATATTTTTCTTCATGGTGATTTGAATGAAGAAGTTTATATGAAATTGCCTCATGGTCTTTTAGTTTCTGGGCCTTCTGTATCTTCTTCTCATTTGGTTTGTATATTAAGAAAGTCCCTCTATGGACTACACTAAGTTTCTAGGCAATCCAAATTATCTCAAGCTCTATGCTCTAGGGGTTTCACTCATTCTATCAATGATTACTCTCTTTTTATCAAGGGTTCTCCTGGATCTTTGACTATTTTGGTTGTTTATGTTGATGATATAATATTGACTGGTGATGATCTTACTGCAATTCTTGATTGAAGATGTTTTTACATGATCAATTTAAAACCAAAGATCTGGGCACTTTGAACTATATTTTGGGCATTGAAGTCTCTTATTATTCTTCTGGTCTCCTCCTTAATCAAAAGAAGTTCACTGCTGATTTGTTATCTGAATATGCTTGTTTTGATGTGTTCTCTGTGGTGTGTCCTTTGGAACTTCATGAGAAGTTGTCTGCTGATTCTGGTAATATTGACAAGCCTGAGACCTATAAGAGTTTGATTGGAA